TTAAGATTATTTGGAGACAGAATAAATAAATAATACATAAGGATACGCAAGATATCATGAATAATTAATACGTAGAATGAAATTAAGATGCGGATAAAATGGCGCACATACAAAATTGTTTAAACGATGCTGTAGCATAATGAAAAAAATCAACGTGATCCAAGAATAAATTCGCTGTCATGCATAGTCTACTTAAATTTGAACGAGAACAATATGATGTTTGATGCAGTGTAACATGAAAGGGCATCGTCTTAAAGATATGGATGGGGCCGATAGTTTCAATTGTTCTAATTTATTGGACATTCGCACCACAATGAGATGATTACAGATCTTAACGACAAATCAAGATACGTACGTATAACTCAATACAAATGAGCACGCAAAAGTTTTCGGCAAACGGAAGAACATCTCGGCACGTTCACTCTCGCCCGGTTCTTTCGTTCCGACAATTATGAAGTTTGACAACACGACGTAGGGAAAAAAAAAGGATTTCGTCCGACGAACTTGCAACCCAGGCGTTACTTGTCAATCTCGAGGGCTACACGATCGAAGACATCGTTAAGAGTTGTCGTGTCGCCCTGGAACCCGTCCAAGGAAGCAGATTAATAGACGTCGGAGGGCTGAAAGTCTCGAGAAGGAACATCGATGAGCTTATAACCTAACCCTCGGTTTCTCGAGGCTCACCCGGATGATTAATTGCGTAGCTCCCTAATTAGTCCAAAAATCGGGATACCGATTAATGTAATTGATGCAATCCCGCCGGCCAGAGTGGAGTTCCGACGATCGTTCGCCGAGAGAAGAATTCAGGATCTCGATGACACGCCCGACGCGCTCGATTGTCTCGCGGCAATCGCGTCGTCGCGCTTTATTCCAATATGCAAATAGCTATTTAATCATCATGTAACATCGTCTTCTCGCAATACTCCGGCCGTACGCAATCGCGCCATCTAATCGTTACACGTAACACCGTTTCCTCACAATGTTAAATCGCGCACAATCTCATGGATCTCGGCGAGATCTTACGAAAGGCGTGTAATAGTTAACGAGCTCCGCGAATTGACGCACTTCCATCGCGATGAGAGACGATTGTTAACTGTGGCAATACCAATCCGAGGATGCCTGGTCTTCTCATGACACAACAAGAAGAGAGATGTAAGTGTAGGAAGTCAACGAAAAAGACAATCCCGCGATCATTTTCGCGTCGCGGATACACCTTGAGCGCCGTGAACATTATCTGGGAAAGTGGAGAACTTAAACGGGGAAAATTACAGAAAATTGATGCCAACATGGAAATGGTGAAACATAGAAATAATGGAAAGACAGTGTTGTACAAAAAATTCCCGAGCCATCGTAAACCTGTTCATGGCATTCTACGTCTCGCAGCTGCTTCCGAAGAAAGAGACGTATACCTATGACCTCAAATCACATTCACGGAGGATCGATTCACGCAAAGACCCTTTTTACGAAATCCGCCGAGGAATTCATATCGGAAGCATTGTATGCGCGATTTGACCGCGACAGTAGCGGTAATCGGACGGGCGTCGTTTTGGCGGCTAACTGACGCGTGATATCGATTCTCGCTTGGAGAGAAGGAGAGAGAGAGAGAGAGAGAGAGAGAGAGAAATGGAGAGAGGGAGCGAGAGACACGAATCCCGTGTAACGACACTTGCCTCAGGTCGCGTAAACCGGCGGGATAATATATGTTCCAGGCTGAGGAGGAGGGAGGGGGGAGGTGAACGGTAAAGGGTTATCGCGAAGCGGTGGCCGCAACGCAAGCGAAATTACAACGTCGCGCGCATTCGGCAATCCAACGAGATCTCTCCCGCAATAAAACGCGCTCGCTCGCTAGTAGGACGCTCTCACGCGCAAGCGAGGGCGCCAAAGGAGCTGTCTTGTATTCGCGCTTTAATTAAAAGTGCGCCCGCCGAAACGCACGTACGTGCGTGCACGCAACACCCTGGTGCCGGCAGGTAAACGCTACGCGCGGCTTTATGCGCGAGCGTTCGATCGGTCGTTATTCTGTATTACTCTGTTTAACGATTAAACAACCCCCTCTCTTGCTCGCGCACACCCGCGACCTTCTGTTTGCTTATTGAAATATCGATGCCGCGTCCCCTCGAAACTCTGCAAAATACATGCGTCTTTAAACGTTGCCTTTAACGTTGCCAATTGTCCGCGAACGTTCCAGCGACCTTTCAGTTTCGCGCGCTCACGCGTGGCGATTTTTGAGATTAACCCACTGAGAGAACAGCCCGTGATCTTGACGCTGAAATAACGTCACAGGTCTCTCGGGCCTGCATCGCGAGATAAATTGCGAAAATCGTGATGCTTTGCATTTTTTGATCTTTTATAAATCATCCAGTTTATCGTCAATTTGTATTTATTGTGGACTCATTGTTATTTTTTGTAGACTCCCAGGTTAATCGAAATTAATTAACGCGCGATCAAAGCAACAGGAAAATTCCCCGTAGGAAATCCGAGAGAAACTCACACACGAGAGATAATCTGTCGTCACGAAAGTGTTCTTTTTTTACTTTCCATTTACGATGAAACGCGGCAAAATTCCGCGATACATCGCGCAATTAATACATCGGCGATCCTTTGACAGTCACCGTGCCAAGAGTGAACGTCGTCGAATGAGCGATCGTCATTCGTGATGACGGTTCGTTTAACTGAACGAACGAAGAGTTTCCGTGCGGAAACGCGGGCAAATCTACAGGCGAAGCTTTCTCGCGGGCAACCACCGTTCGGTGCACCCGGGAGCGCGCGCTGGCGGACTTCATTTTTGCGTGTGGAATTAATTAAAACGCGCAAAGTAAGAGTGATGTCCGAGTCTCCCCAGCGTCTCCCCGCCCCCTCCTCGTGCATATGAACCAACCCTGCGCCAGCTTCGTCGCGCTACCAAAACACTTTGTGGCCGGCCACGGTGCCGCAATTGTGCTCGAGCCGGCCGCAAGCACGAGCTTCAGATAGAACAACGTGTGTACGCGTAGCGGCATTTTCGCCGATCCGTCAAGAATAATTAACGAAAATTTGTCCGCCCCTCTCTCTCTCTCTCTCTCTCTCTCTCTCTCGCTCGCTCCCAATCCCCACTCCAATACCTACGTTTTTCTCTCTTTCTCTCTCTCTCTCCCTCTCCCTTTCTCTCTATTTCTCCTCGGATACTCTGCTCCTCGTCAACGCTATCGCCGATAAAACCTTTTACACTTGTCGTAAAACTCGCCGCCGCGAATGCCACCGCGAAATACGTCGGCGAGTGTCGTAAGGGAGCCCGATGGGGTGTTTGGTTTAAGCTATGGATCGGGGATGTGCCCCTCGCATAACGCTGGATTCTTAATTCTTATGACGGGTCCTTCGGTGAATTCGAGAATAACTTTTTTTTTCCAACAAAATCACATTAAGTCGGTTTGTGTATTTGTCGAATAAAATTGAAGAAAAAATTGTCTAATTTCGAAGTATTGATAAATTTTGCAAGCGAGATGAAAACAGCGTCGATTCGGCATTCTTTTAAACGTCCGACGTCCCTATTTTCTCCTGATGTTCGAATTGGAAACTTCGTATAAATGGTAATTTGATAAAAAAAAAAAAAAGAAACAAACGAATATTAACAGTTTTCGCATTAAGGTATGTTATGAAAAGGGACTTTTGCAAACTGTGCTTCCGGAATGTAATGAAACAGCAAAGTTGCATTACTATCGGTATTACCATTATTATCGTTTAATAGTTGTTCATTTATATTCAAATGGAGATATCGCACCTGGAAAATTCTAACTAGGGATTTCACAAAAGTGTTTAATGACGGATATTAAAACGTTGCGACACATAATGGCTTCTTTTCAAGTTTTCCACGAGAAAAAGTTCGATTCTCACGGCAACCTTTAAATATAAGATGAAGTATAACAAGGTATACGCCGGCCCTTTTTAATCCACTTTAAGTCCGTAATACGCGCGTGCTCGCATCTGCCATTTTAATCCTGCTTTTTATTAAAACGAATGCTTGTATGTGAAATTATTATTTGAATCCGCAGGAAAAGTTATTCTACTAAAATAATTTATTTTCATTTCTCGTTATTAAAAGAAATGGTGCATAAAATCAACTAATACGCTCGCAGCCGGAAATGGCGCAGTAATTCATTATCGATTAATCATTTGAGCACCGACGAATGTAGCATTATATCCGCGCTGCCATTAATATCGATATCAGCTTTCGCGATTAACGCCGATTCGCGACGGATTAAATTCGATTCATCTCCGTGGAATCGCATCTCGCAGGAAAGTAATTTACTCCACCGACTCGTCGCGGATGAGACTTTATTCAAAAGTATTTTTTTCCCCGTTCTTTTTGCTTTCTTTTCGAAAAGAATCACTTCGCATAGTTTTCTGAAATTACATGCGCGCTATTCTTCGTTTATTCCCCTGTTAACGATTACCGGCAATTTTGCGGAAATTCTTACGCAGAATTGCATCGAACAGTACCGAATCTTGAAGAAAGCGCAAAAAATCAATTTTCCCTAATACGAAATTTCCCGCAAGAATGATTCATTCCGCCGTTTCGTGCGATTCCCATTCACGCGGCATTATCCTCTCGCGCACTGTGTATTTTGAAACAACGAGCGGGATATCTCAATGTCAATTGTCCCTATTGTCGAGAGATTATCTTCGTGCGTTTCCGTAGCGCCTCCGAAATCTGCTTTCGCCGAAGTAATACCGATTCCGACGAGTTTCCGAACTCCTCACGTCATACGTCAAGCCCCGGCGCAAACGTCAAACGGGATCGAACGTGGCCCCCGGCAGATTTAAAATGTCGCAGGCTGCCAAATATCTGGCAGCGTTCTCCTCGGCGACACGAGTCGCCAGAAGAAACCCTCTCTCTCGGGAGGGGTGGGTGACGCGGCGGTGTGTTCGCTTGGGTGTTTCGAGGCCGCGTAGCAGGGAGCTTGCGCCTAGCCAGGCCGACTGGCTCGAGCTTGCGAGCTTTCTAGCAGCAGCCAGTCGCCGGCTGCCGGGCCACGACCTCGCATCAACCCCCGGCTCGCTCTCGCTCGCCCGTCCTCGGTCTCGTTCGTTCGTTCGTCTGTTTCGTTTCGACGCTGCGCGCGAGACAGGGAGAGAGCTTTCACGGCCACATTTTCCGCATATCCCCGCGATCCGAATTTTCGACGCACCACCGTCGCCAGTCTCCGGCTAGCCTCGAAGGCGTCACGACAGGAAGAGAGAGAAGGAGAGAGAGAGAGAGAGAGAGCTTTGGAAACCGGGTGAAAATTTTTACCGTCCGCAAGATTTCTCACGTTAGAAAGTGCCCGATATCGTTTCGATCAACCGTCGCGATCGCGTATCTCGCGTCGTTCGTACCACTCTCGTTCGGATTAACGATAGTCCACCTGTTCGACTCGATCGTCCAGCTGTTTTTCGGCGATTATTCCGGACTTGCACGCGGAGTATCAAGCAGAAATTCCCGTGGTGTACACGAGTGCACTTGCGAGTACCGGGGCGGCGCGAGCTCTCCCGAGCGCGGATTTTCGGACGTGTTCCGTGGCGAATTCGTGTCAAGGATTGGTGGTATCGACGAGTCGAAGGTCTGGGTCGGTGTGAGAATCGCCTCGTGCGAAACAAGTGACGCCCGTCGTTTGCTTTTTTCCCGCGGCACCCCGCGAAGTATGGCGGATGGGTGACAGGCAGCGCGGATCCACTGCTGGCTGAAGGTGTTTTTCAGCGTCGGTGGGACCATGTGAGCTTTCGACCATGAGGGTGAGTGTTGGTGCGGTTACGAGGCTCCTATATAGTTGACGAGTTTCTCTCTCTCTCTCTCTCTCTCTCGCGATTATTATCTACATCGGGCTGCCGGTATTCCGACGAACGCACGCCGAGATCGGGCGATTCTCTCGCACGAGAACGCGCAAATCGGATTTCGAAATTCGCCGTTGTGGATCGATCGGCATTGCAATTCATATTACGTGAAAAATATATCACGCATAGCGCTGCGGTTAGGAGAGTTTGATCCCGAACACGAATTCCGTGTTTACAGTTTTAACTGTCCGTATCATAAGTTGTGAAATAATATCAAAGAATTGAAGAAGAGAATTTACAGAAATTGTGTCGTTTTAATATATCTCTTTTATGTTCTGTAAAATTTTACTATGTGAAAATTATGTAATATAGAAGATTGTATATTTTTACTTATTGTTATACATGAATATTTCTTTTCTTTCTTTTGACAATTCACAAAATGCATGTGGTATTCGATAATAGTTAATATTACGTCAAATATTTACCCGAGAGAAACTACTCCATAATGTAATATTCACTAGCTGATCCTAAAAAATTATTATCTCGTTGCATTATCGATAGATTACGAGTCTCTCAGCGATTGGTGTGCATTGCGTCTTACATTCAACTTTAAATGTAGCTTCATTTGCAGCTATTTATAGTTTATTTATAAATATTACCCTCTGTATTTTCCGCTTGCACAAACAAGTATCGAGAATAAAGCACCAAGGGGACTGCAAACGAAATATATATATGCAAGTTTCTTTTTTAGAGATTATGAATAAATATTTGTTTATATTTTTTATCAGATTTTCGCAATTATGAAAGCGACTTGATCGCCTGTTTGTAATATCATTGTCTATCTTATTTATTTGTTTAAAATGGATCGAATATTTTGACGGGATTTGCGAAGAGAATCAGAAGTTATAATTTTGATTTCCATTGAGCGAACACACGACGCATTACAGCTTTCGAAACAGTTTCGATTGTTTCCTGCTAGCTAATCACTGTAATTGATTAACTGAAAGCAATTTTCAGCAACAATTGTTTCAGCTGAAAACTCATATTAGCGTATATGTACCGACCGCGCTGTGCACCTGGTGCGTGTTACGTACTTTCGGTTTATATACTGCAAGCCATCTAAAAATATAGAAGCTGCAAAATCTTTATTATAATTTCTTATAAATAGTATATTTTTTTAATCGATTTTTTTTAAAGCACTGATCGCTATAAAAGATCCTTTGAAAAGTTTCTTTATAAAAAGCTTTTTCTTTTGAAAGGGAGAGACCTAGTATCAATTTATGCCTCTTAAAAATACATATTAAAATTTGAAATAAAAAAACATGAAAGCTACGCGTGCATATAATCATCATTACAATTTATTATATGAAATACTTATTATAATAGGAATTAATTATAATACGACGTAAAATAACATTTATACAACTTCTATATGTCTGTTTTTGTATTTTAAATATTTTAATATATATAGATATTTTAAAGAAAGTTTATATTGATGTATATATATATATATAGAAGACTGTTTTATCTAAAGATTTTTCTCTAAAGATTTAGATTAGCGACTGCTTCTTAAAAAAATTAATTTAAAAAATCGATTTAATTAATATGAATTCTTAAGAGAATTTCTCTGGTTCCACGAAGTAATTTAGCATGAAAATAGAATTTTCGAACGCAACAAAATATGTAATAAGGAATGATTTAAATGACAACGGGTTAAAGTCATCCGGGGAATTACAGTGGGTTAGCTCTCCGGTGCTGTCGACCCTGTGACACCAACGCCATAATACCCTTGGGCGAATTTTCATCCATGGTAGTTGGAGCGCAGCGTAGCATAACTTCTACTAACTTAAACGATTCAAATTGGGAAGTGTCCCAGACTGCACTACTCGAGAATGACTTAACCGATCATGTCCGAAATTTCTATTATTCTAACTTCACGGTTAAGCTAATTTCTTCAGAATATTTCGATATTCAATCGCAGTAACGACGATTATTATGTGCATAAATATTGGTTTTCAAGCTCTATAAAACATACACAGTTCACTTCCTACCGCATCCGTTTGTTAAAAATAAAGATAAAATATACGTGTGTTCAAATTACCAGTGAAGATTCCATTACTCGATATAATTTGTGCTCCGTAAGAACTTGGAGAAATATTAGCAGAAATGGAGAAAATCAATACTTGCTGGACTAGAGAGTTTAATTCAATAATCTTCAGCCTTGTTTATAATTATTCTGACGCGTTATTATGGGAAGCGGTAACAGGTCGCTTTAAAATTCCGAAGAATTCCTAACTACGTTTTCACTGTAATACTGAGCCACTATTCGAGCCTATTAAAAGATGCACACGGTGATAAACTTGGAAACTCGCGGCCGTACTACGTAAGTTCGGTCGCAAACTTAGGTGGTAAATTTTATTTGCACGGCTAACACGTCGGTACTTGCCGAAGATTTTCCCCTTGATAGTTTCGGGTGCAGCTTAAAAAAGAAAAGAAGAGAAAAAAAAAAGAAAAATGCTTGAGAGACATCCGCGGCGTACTCCACTTCGAGCTCGAGAGTTGGCGCGAGAAATTTCGAAAAGTTCTGGACAGGTGTCGACGAGAAAAACCGGAACGTTTCTCAAGATAAATTGCACATTTCGTCCAACCAAAAAATCCGGCTTTAAAACTTCAAACGATGAATCGCGACGCGAGGATTTGGTTTCGCGTATATAAAAATCGTCCACAGGATCATTTTCGTCGGACCGATCCCGGTCATATTTCGATTCGATGATGGCCCGGATCATGGGAGCGTTAAAATTAAACCGTGAAAAACATCCTGACTTTCAGCATCACGACGGATATTTCGCGAAAATGGAAATCGCAGTCGATAAGAAGCTGTCTATTACGAGAGTCATCAGCAACTGCTTTTATACTTCGAACTGCCGGAATCCGTAAGCTCATCTCGTGTGTTTCGAGCTTCATATTTATATTAGCAATGCAAATTGAGAGAGAGAGAGAGAGAGAGAAAGAGAGAGAAAGAGATTGTATACGGATAACGTTACAACAGCAACGACCGAGAACGAGCACGCCGGCATAGCCGAGCGTTTATACAAAAGTGAAATCAACAGACACCCATAAACATTGTTTACTTCAGAACGTTTCTTCATAATTTTGCGCGTTATAAAGCTGCATCTTATTAAAAATAATTTTCGCTTAAATCTGAGACAGAGAGAGAAGAAGGGCGAAGGGAGTAAGGTTTAAGTTTTAATTATCTTTCCTTTGACGCGAAATGAAACGCGAAATTCTAATCGTTCGACGTTTCTTTTTTTTTATCTCGAGTAAGTTGCACGTAAAACGCATTCCCGAAGGAGAGAGTGCATTCCGAGCCGCTGAAAAGCGCGAACGAGGTGCGTTTTCGGCTCGCGGTGTTTATACAGCCAGAGAATGCTACTTGCACGGTCGGAATTTCAAAAACTTTCGGCAACAATCGCCTCTCGTATCGCGAGTTAACATGGGTGAAAACGGCATTAAACTACCTCGAAATAGTCAGCGAATTTCACGACGAAGACGACAACGCGTTGTTCCCGTGTAGCCGGCAGCGCGCAGTAGATGCGAAGGATTTAACGCGGCCCTTCGTGCTGCAAGTCACTTCGGACAAATTTCTTGCGCGAACATAAATTTCATATGGATTGTAAACGAGCTCTAAATCTTCGACACATTGCGCGCAACACGTCACGCGGAACACACTTCCCGCCGAGGGAAGTAATTCGCTATTTTACGATCGCTATACCGGACAGGGGCTTAGTTTATACGATTCTGATTCGAAGCCATATGTTCGATGCGCATAATTCCTTTGAAAATCACGCAAATCTATCTATATTAACAAAAGGCTCGTTGTTAAAAAGTAACACATTAATTAAGCGTTAATTAAGACTGCTGTTAAAGCAAAGTAACGACTTGTTGAAATCTGGAATCTCGCAGTTTTTAAAAAGGGCGACTCACTCGCATGCATACACACACATGTGTGTACACAGGTACGCATGTACGCACACATCTCCATTCTAATTAATTTTCTATAATTAATTTCAATTAGTGGAAGCGTATATAATATCAATAGCGTGAATATATGATCACTCGTGTAAAACTAAATTTATCAAAATTTCCATTTTATGTAACAAAATTATGATAATGCGCACAGTTTCACGGCAATCGAGTCGATCGGTCGATCTCACGGCCCGGTGAATTTCGAGCGAGTTCTTTTCTCCATCGCAAACACTTGACAGCCGTATCGTTATAATGATATCGCGCCGTATCGGGAGTGATTTTGCATTACGCGGAGAAATGTGAGCGATATGTTTTCGGGCTGCGGCGAGATAAACCAAGGCGGACAACCAAGCGGGATGTTGGATGCATTCCGGACATAGGTCGGTTAATTATCGCGAGACTCGCAATCAATCAGTCAGGCGAAAAAAAGATGTAAGCGGTATACGTCGCGGCCGCACGAGTGTGCTGATGCGTAAATAGTAAATACAATGGCCGTGTTATCGTTCATGGACGGACGGTTCGCGCGATGATTATACAAAGTGCGGATGAAAAATACCTATACACGTAATCCGGATTATCAATTGCGTTACTTGCGCACGCTCGGATCACTCTCGTTGTTAATGACAATCTTGTATTCATACCTGGCATAAAAAAGCATTCCGCTAAAGCTGACATTAAAAATTTCATATGCGCGCCGTCGGAATAATTCCAGCGGTCTGAAAGGGATTCTTTCCGGCTCTGTTCGAATTTCGCAAAACTTCTCTGCTGCCACCCTCGTAACCGCACCTTCGAGATTCAAATTACACGGTACATATGTATTCGCGAAAGGAGGAGACGATCGGCAAGTTTCCATTTTCGCGATATCTGCGAATTATCCTTTTAACGTGGGCGTCGCGTATGCCGCTTTGTTACGCCTATCGATTTAGCTCTTCATT